TCGAAGGTGCGCAACTGGGGGAACCGCGCGTTTGCTTTTACCTTTGCTGTTGCTTTTGCTTGGCTCCCAGGGGACTGGGGGAACCGCCCGGGGCGCTTTCCACTGCCCGGCCCCTTTAAGCTAGAGAGTAAGAACCCTTCTAGGCAGAGCCTAGGTAGGGAAAAACGGCTTAGTCACAAACTTTTGGCGCTCCGCGCGGATTTCTTGGATCCGCGTTGGGCCCCCCGGCGGCGCCTCTGGCGCCGCCCCTGGTGCGCTCCGCGCGCCAGGGAGGGGGTTCCAGCGCAGATCCAAGAAATCCGCGACGAGCGCCACAAGTTTATGTTTATTGTGTGTTTTCTTTTCCTAATGACGACCATCTCGAGAGTAATCGTGGCCCCCCGCGGCCGCCAAGCTCACCTCGCGTCACGGCTCGGCCGCTTGGGCGTTGGGCCTCCCCAGAGGCCCCGAGTCATTCCTTGGAAGTTTCCCAGCGGCGACGGCCCTGCAATACGTTGGCGTCCCGGGGCTTACATTGGAAGGGACCTCTCAAACTTTCTTCAGGCCTGCGCAGTGTCCACCAGATCAAAAACGCAGCTGAGCACAGGAGGGCGTGCAGGCAGTTACGGAGCTCGGACATGCAGAAGCAACGTGAGGACGACGCTGCAAAGCCCTAGGGGCTTATTTTCCGCCGTCTCGAAGAACCAAACAACTGCGTAAACATACTTCTCTACGCTTCGCGTGTCCCCACCGGCCCATTCAGAAACCCTGCCCGTGAGAGTTGACGGGGAAAGGGACGAAGAAACACATGTAGTGGAACAAAGCGGGCGACCAGGGTGAACATAGAGATCTCTGGAGCAACGGGGGTGGCCTTGGAGGGCTCTTCGGGCCATCCCTGGGGCCCGCGTGGGGGGAGGGAAGGAGGAGGAGGCGGAGGCGGAGGCGGAGGCGGAGGCGGAGGAGGAGGAGGAGGAGGACGATGACGACGACGACCACGACGACGATGAAGAGGAGGAACAAGGAAAGGAAGACGACGAGGGCAAGGACGAGGACGAGGACGAGAACGAATAGAAGGACGACGAGGACGAGGACAGAGTCCTCAAGATTGTCTTTCGGAGCCCTCTTGGGGCTTTTCTGGAGGATCTTTGTGTTCTCTTGGGGCTCTTTTGGGAGGTCGTGGGTACCTCTTGGGTCCCTCCTGGGGCTGCCTTGAGGGCCTCTTGGGAGCCCTTCAGGGCCTCTTGGGGCTATCGTGGAGGGCGTCGGTGAAAAGAGAGGGGTCCTAACGTTTGGTTCCCCCGTTGGTTGTGGCCCTCGAAATCGCCCCTTGGTGCGCTGTTGGGGCGCTGTTGGGGCGCTTTTGGGGCGATCTTGGGCACTCTCGGGGCCGTCTTGGGGGCCTCTTGGGCCCATTTCGGGACTCTCTTTGGCCATCTTGGGGTAATCTGGAGGCCTCGAAAGCGTAACAGAAGCGAACATTCGAGATGGCACAAATGATGCATTCCCCATGGTGTTGTTTTGCAGTTCCTTTTTGAGTTACACGCGAGATTTTAACTTCTTGGGGTCCTGATCGTACTCAGGGAACACTTGGATCAGTGTTGTGGCTCTCGTCTGGCCTCGTTGAGTTATACCGGAAGCTATCTCCAACCATTTTCGACTATTTTGAGCCGCCTTGGAGGCCATCATTGAGCCTCGAAGGCCCTCTTGGAGCCATCTTGGGCCATCTTGGGCGCCCTGACCGACCACGAAATCCAATTAAAAGAATCGAGGAGGGGGAGTGGGAGGGTACCCCTCCCCACAGGGAAGAGTGTCTTGGAAGAGGCAATAAAGAACTCGTTAGACCACCCTAGCCCAAAGGGCCGGGGGCATTTCTCGGATCGGCGCTGGCCCTCCTTTTGCGGCGCCTCTGCCGCCGCCCTTGGCGTGTTCCGCGCGCCAGGGAAAGGGGGTCCAGCGCCGATCCAAGAAATCCTTGCGGACCTCAGAGAACTTATGTTGTCGCCGTGTTTCGCCGTTCCATGTCCCACTGGCGTCCCAGGGCTTCTTTCCCTCCTCCACCTCTTGCCTCTACGTGCGTGCCTCCAGTACTCTGGCCGTTCACCTGCACGTCCACCCGCTTTCGGCGCCTGCGGCCGCTTGCGCACGCCTTCTGCCGCATCCCCCCTCGCTCAGCCACGCGCAGAGGGGGTGGGGCGGAGGGGGGAGGGCTTCTTAGAAACACCCGCTGCTTCTTCGAAGGCGCGGGCCTTCTCCGGCACCTTCTAAGAAGCAGTCTCCTTCGAAGAAGCCCTCCCCCCTCCCTCCACCCCCTCGTGCGCGCCGCCAACGGACGCTGCCGCCCTCTTCTTCTCCACCTGTCCGGTGTGCCCCCGCCCGGCGCTGCCCGCCGGCTGTTCCACCGCGTGGGCTTTCAGTTCTCGCAGGTGGCCAGAAAGCGCGCCGACGTTGCCACGAGGCAGCCACGGACGATCCAATGTCACAGCGAGGGTGCCCCCCCAAGAGGCCCCTCGGACATCGCCAAGACGGGCGTCAGGCTCCAGCATGCCCCCTGCACGTTCCCGCGCATTCAAGCGTCACTGCAACACTTGCCCGTAGTCTCTTCAGCTGTCTCGCCTGTGGCACGCCCCCACGGGCCCCGCGCGGTTCAAGTCAAACCCAAATGCCCCCAAACGCCACAACACCTACCCGGCACAGCCTACGGCCTAGGGCCTAGGTCGCCCACTATTTGGGAGTCGTCCCAGAGGAGAAGAATGAGGATGAGGAGGAGGAGGAGGAGGACGAGCAGGAGGAGGAGGAGGAGGACGATGAGGAAGATATGGAGGAGGAAGAGGAGGAACAGGATGAGGAAGATGAGGAGGAGGAGGGGGAGAATGAGGGGTAGGAGGAGGAGGAGGAGGAGGAGGAGGAGGAGGAGGAGGAGGAGGAGGAGGAGGAGGAGGAGGAGGAGCGCTGCGGGGAGAACAGGCGCAGGGCCAGAAGACGCTCTACGAGAAAAGGAAACGACAGGCAGAACATTGCGACTGGGATGATTGATCAGGATCTCTGACTGAAGAGACCCTTTTTGTACGCGGCTTCTCAGCCCTACGTTCCAAGTGCAGTCCTCTTAGGTGATGCGGGTATCCAAGAGACCAGCTCCGCGTGCTTGCTGTGGTTCACCCGGGTAGTCTCTCCTACATGGCGGGTGGAAGCGCGTGCGAGAAAGTCAGGCACTCAAGTGCACAAAATCGTCCCTTTACGGCCCCAGGCTGGCCCCGGGCCGCCCCGGGCCGCCTCGGGAGGCCCCAAGACACGCCAAAAGGGCCCAGAGAGGCCACCAAGACGGCCCCGGAGGGCCCCGGCACGCCCAAAGATGGGCTTAGACGCTCGAGATTGGCCCAAGACGGCTCCAGAGACCTCCAAGACGGCCCAAGAAGCCTCCCAAGAGGCCTCCTAAGAGGGTCCCGAGTGGCAGAACTCGTGGATTTCCATTGTGTTTTTCGATGTTTTTGGCCTTCTCGCCTTTTCGGCTTCCCGAGGCTCCAAGACGGCCCCAGAGGTCCCCAAGACCGCTCCAAGACAGCCGAAGAGGCCCCCAGGAGAGCGTCAAGACGGGCCAAGAGGGCCCCAAGACGGGCCCCAGCAGGCCCCGGCGCGCTCCGAGACGCTCCAAGACGAGCCAAGGAAGGCCCCAAGAGACCTTCAAGATGGCCCCAGAGGGCCCCGGCACGCCCAAAAATGAGCCCAAGACGCTCAAGATTGGCCCAAGACGGCTCCAGAGGTCTCCAAGACGCCCCAAGAGGCTTCCCAAGAGGCCTCCCAACAGGGCCCCGAGTGGCAAAAATCAATGATTTCCATCGTGTTTTTCTATGTTTTCGGCCTTCTCGCCTTTTCGGCTTCCCGACGCTCCAAGACGGTCCCAGAGGTCCCCCAGACCGCTCCAAGACAGCCGAAGAGGGCCCCAAGAGAGCCCCAAGACGGGCCAAGAGGGCCTCAAGACGGGCCCCAGCAGGCCCCGGCGCGCTCCGAGACGCTCCAAGACGCGCCAAAAATGAGCCCAAGACGCTCAAGATTGGCCCAAGACGGCTCCGGAGGTCTTCAAGATGCCCCAAGAGAGGGTCCCGAGTGGCAAAAATCGATGATTTCCATTCTGTTTTTCGATGTTTTCGGCCTCCTCGCCTTTTCGGCTTCCCGACGCTCCAAGACGGTCCCAGAGGTCCCCCAGACAGCTCCAAGACGGCCGAAGAGGGCCCCAAGAGAGCCCGAAGACGGGCCAAGAGGGCCCCAAGACGGCCCCACGACTCCCCAAGACGGCCCCAGCACGGCCCAGGAGGCGCCCAAGACGGCTCAAGAGGCACCCAAGACGGCCCCAAGAGCGGCCCGAGACGGCCCAGGACAGCCCAAGAGGCGCCCAAGCCGGCCTCAGCTGGCCCCAAGACGGCCCAAGAGGCACCCAAGACGGCCCAAGAGGGCCCTAAGAGCCTCCCCGGGAGGCCCAGAAGACCCCAAGTGGCTCCGAAACGGCCCCCACGAGGCCCTAAGTGGTTTCAGAATTGCCTCCAGGAGGGTGGGAGCGGACGAGAGGCGACAGGCATTTCGCAGACACTAAAGAGCCGTGCAGCATCAGCAGCACGCGTTGACAACGCAAGCGTCATTCAGCATCATGCAGCATGCAGCAACATCCAGCACCAGGCAAAAAGCTAGCAGCAGCACCAAGCCGTAGCAAGCAGCAGCCCACACCAGTCAAACCGCAGGCGGCAGCAGAAGAACGACAAAGCAAACAGCAGCGAGTAGCAGCAGGCAGCACTCAGCACAACAAGCGGCGGCCATGAAGCCTCCGAGAGCGTTTCGAGAGGGTCCTCATGACAAGCGTCGTTGGCCAGGCGAACAAGGAGCCCAACGTCATCAGGTGCGCCTTCCAGCAGTACTCCCTCCACCCCGCAAGTGGACGTAGTCCACGGGTCAGCCCTATCAGCTACAGCGCCGGGATCAGCGCGTGCGAGAAAGGCGAGCAGTGGCAGCGCGCCTTGTCGTTGCTGAGTGAGATGTGGGATGCGGAGTTGGAACCGAACGTCATCAGCTACAGCGCTGGTATCAGCGCGTGTGAGAAAGGCGAGCAGTGGCAACCTGCCCTGTTGTTGCTCAGCGAAATGTTGGTGGCAAAGTTCGAGCCCGACATCAGTCAGTCAGAGGCGTGTGTCACAGGGCATGAGCGATACGAAACAAACGCCGTGCCAAGCAGTACGTCTGTACAGGCTGTTTCGATTTCTGTGCTGGGATCGGTTCGTAACGAGTCGATTGAGCCGTCAAGAGTAAAGCAAGCGTTCCCTGGGCCTCTGGGCACTTCGGCGGACCACGTTTGCCGCGGTCAGACTCTCGTTCGCTTGCCCGCTTACTGGACGTGGGTGTGACATCACGTCGCGCGCGGCGAGTGCGAGGTTGCGGTTCTGCTTGCAAGTGGTTCCCCGATGTGCGCATTCGAGATCGCCTCGCAGAAGTTCGCGGCACCGCTGGCACCCTGCCATGGCCCCCATTCGGCGCCGCTGGCACCCTGGCCTGGCCCCCAGGAGGCCCATGGCTTGCGTGCGAATCGCTCGGCCGTCCTGGGTGACTGCTCGACATGGGCGCGTCTTTTTTTCGAAGCCCACCGCCCGACGCGCGGGTCCCAGGACCTTCCAGCAGCAGTTCAAGCATGAGCAGAGCTGGCACCATTCGGAAACAGCAAACGTCATCGTCAGCAACAGTCAGCAGCGGCAACCAGCAAGCAGCGGCAATCATCAGCAAGCAGCACGCAGCAACAGCCTCAAGCCGGACACGCAGTGACAAGCAGCGGTGGGCAATCACCAGCCAAGCCGCAGCACTTACCAGAAACAGCATGCAGCAGGCAGCAGCAAACGGCAACGTTCGGCAGCAAGCAACGGCAAGCGATAATGAGTAGTCGCAAACATCAGCACCAAGCCGCAGCCATTAGCGAGCAGCAGCAGCAGCAGCAGCAGACAGTCAGACTGGAGCCAGTAGCATTCAGAAACAGCACACTGCAGCAAACATCAGCAATCACTGGAACGCAGCGGCAAATGACAGCAAGCGACAACGTGCGGCAGCAGCCCGAAGCAAGCCACGAGGCCTCGTAGTCGTTGTGGTGCCCAGCCAGCCCAGCGTGATATGTTGCGATCTGCCATGCCGTGTTGAATTGGGATCTCCGTTCCGAGGACAAGCATATCCTCTTAGAAGTTGTAGTGTTCCATCTTGCGTTTGTTCGCCGAGCCAGGTCACCGCCGAGCTTGCTTTCCGAGATGTGGCGTCGTGCCATGCTCTCCGCGATGTTCATCGTTCGTTGCGGATGCGCTTGCGTGGACGATGTGGGCCCCACGACGGCCCAGGATGCCCCAAGATGTTGCGCATGCTTCTCAGAACACTCTGCAGTGCCATCGGCACCAGCTAGGGGCAGACAGCAACACCACGTATAGGACACGTGCCATGACAGCAGCCCGACCGAGTAGACAGCGGTAGCAAGAACCAGCCACAAACAGCAGACTACTACAACAACAACACCATCACCAATAACACCAGCACCAGCACCAGCACCAGCACCAGCACCAAAATCAATAACAACAATAGCAACACCACCAGCAATACCAGCAACACCATCATCAGCAACACCAGCACCAGCAGCACCAACAGCGACATCGACACGAACACCAGCAACACCGACAACTGTAGCAGCAACAATACTAGGTTTAACACTGCTCGTTCTTACCTGCTCGCGGGCCACTCACTACGTATATCCCAAAGCCTCGATGTCCGCCCTCTTCGTCTTCGATCGTGCCCCCTTGGGGGCAATATCTTTTCTACCTTCACCGTGTTTTTCGTGTAGCCCCTAAGGCAGGGGAAGAGAGGACGGATGGAATGACGGGACAAGGGGATAGCAGGAGGACGGCCAGGAGCAGAAAACACGTGGCAGAACCAGACGGGCAGATCGGGCGGGTAGACCCTAACGGGCGGGTCGAGAAGGCGGACCTAGGCGGCCAGGTCGAGCAGGTGGGTTGCTGAAGCGTGCGTCCTGCATCAATCGCGAGGAAGTCTCCAGCGATAGCGCGATTCCCAAATAAATCGTCAGAAAATCCAATTCGAGAGCGTGATTCCTGAGTGTCCGGAGCGCGGCGTCTGAATATATGGCGAGGAAATCCCACGCGAGAGCGCGATTCCTGTGTAAATTGTGAGGACCTCCCGCGCGAAAGCGCGATTTGGGAATAATGCATTATGAGGAGGTATCAGGCGGGAGTCGTTGTTGTTGTAAGCCGGGGGCCAGGGGCACAGTTTGGTGACTCCTTTGCTTCCCCTGTAACAGGGTGCGAGCTCAGGGAGAAACATTTAAATTGAAACATGCAATGGTTACCGGAGGGTGGGGTCAATAATCATTATATTTTTGACATGGGGCTTCAACGACAACAACACCAGCAACATCAGCAGCAGCAACAACAGCAACCACAGCCACAACACCAACAACATCAACAGCGGCGACGACGACGACGACAACAACAACAAGAAGCTGCAACGGCAAGCAGTAGGCAGCGCGCAACAGCATGCGGCAACACGCAAGCAGGCATCAATCAAGCAAGCGCGGGGCCCGCTGGACTTCGTGGCCCGGCCCTGGTCAGCTACAACGCCGGGATCAGCGCGTGTGAGAAAGGTGGGCAGTGGCTGCGGGCCCTCTCGCTGCTGAGCGAGATGTGGGAGGCGAAGCTGGACCACAATACCATCTGTGCTACTGTGTCGGGAGTCGCGCGCGCGCGGTCGTGGTAGTATTCGGGGGGGGGGGGGCGCTCTTGCGGCGCCGCCCGGCAGCTTCGCTCGGTCGCCTCTCGCTGACTGGGGCGTCTCGAGGCCTGGTTGGCCGCCCCGAGTCGGTCCAAGACGCGCTTCAGGTGTGCCTTCGGACTGCGCGCCCCATAGCATACTGAAGGCGGCCCAGCAGGGCGCCCGAGACGCTTTAAGTGGCCTGGGGAGGGGGCTCACGAGAGGTCACAGGCAGTAATGGTCAGTGCAAGGACCCAGGTCTTCAATGCTTCTCACTTTCTTGGCTTCTCGCCCGAATATTGCTTCAAGAGGGCTTCACACGGTTTCGGCGTGCCCCAGCAAGCCTCCAAGGTGCCCACCCAGATTGGCCCCCGAGGAACCCAAGAGGGCTCCAGAGCGTTTCCAAGATGTTACGAGGCAACACCCAGATGGCCACGAGACTGCCAGAGGGCTCCTATATGACCCCCAAGACGGGCCAGGAGGCATCCGGAAGTGCCAGAGAGGGCCCCCAGAGGGGGACTTCGACCTTCGCCCTTGCACAACGCAGTCAGGCAGGACACGCGGGGAAGCCATCCTCACTCTTACCTAGGAGTAGGCTTTGGTTTGGTGGATGGGAATCCACGGGACAGCCCTAGTCAGCTACAACGCTGGCATCAGCGCGTGTGCGAAAGGCGGGCAGTGGCAGCAGGCTTTGTCGTTGCTGAGCGAGATGTGGGAGGCGAAGTTAAATCCCGACACGTTCAGCTACAGCGCTGGCATCAGCGCGTGTGAGAAAGGTGCGCAATGGCAGCGAGCTCTGTCTCTTCTGGGCGAGATGTGGGAGGCGAAGTTGGATGCAGACACTGCCATCTACAATGCCGGGATCAGCGCGTGCGAGAAAGGAGAGCAGTGGGAGCGAGCCTTGTCGTTGTTGAGCGAGATGTGGGAGGCGAAGTTGAAGCCCAACGTGATCAGCTACAGCGCTGGGATCAGCGCGTGTGAGAAAAGCGAACAGTGGCAGAGGGCCCTCTCGCTGCTGAGAGAGATGTGGGAGGCGAAGCTGAAGCCCGACATGATAAGTCTTAGAATTCTGGGCCGCGTGCGCACGACGCGAAAGGCCCACATGCGGGACTCGCCTGGTTTTGCCTCCACGCCCTCCTGTGTTGCTGGGTCCTCGTTTTGGATCTGCAGCGCCGCGCGCCTCCTCCCTCCTCCCCATCCTCTCCCTGCCCTCCGCTCTCGGCATGCTCATGTCGCCACGGCCATCGCACGCTTCGTGCCCACATGGAGCTCCACCTGCGGTCTCCGAGGGCACGACCGCATGGCGCCGCCGCGCCCGCTTCGGCACGCCCCTCACCGGGGACCGCCGCAACACGGCGAGCTCCGTCAACGGCCCCCGTGGGCCCGACGGCGTGGCGCCTTCCGCGCCCACTTGGGCACATTGCCCCCCTCACGAGGCTCGTGGCCGCACTGGGAGCTCCACCTGGTTCTGGGCTGGTTCTGGGCTGCTTCCGGGCCCGCTTCGGCACGCCCCTCACCGGGGACCGCCGCAACACGGCGAGCTCCGTCAACGGCCGCCGTGGGCCCGGCAGCGTGGCGCCTTCCGCGCCCACTTGGGCACATGCCCCCCTCACGAGGCTCGTGGCCGCATTGGGAGCTCCACCTGGTTCAGGCTGGTTCTGGGCTGGTTCTGGGATTGCCTCGGTAACCCCCCCAGGAGGGTTCCCAGAGAGCCCCAGGATGCGCAGAGGCATGTTCGTGAGAGGATGCCCATGTCCATGTTCCGACTACCCTTCTGACGAGACAGTCGAATGGCTCCGACGTCCCCGTTGTTTTCATGGCGCCTGGCCCCTATCGGCCGAACAGGTACGTGACCGAAGTAAATCGAAGATCGAACACGTGCCCGAAACTGACCGCAAACGCGGAGTGACCGAAAGTGTGACCGAACTTGAACATCGCATTGGTTGTGAATCAAACAAACTGTTCGTCACTACCGGGCACATTCGGAGCACATCGGGCGCACCTTTCGGTCACACTCGGGCAGACTGTTGGGCACAGTCTCGGTCACAGCACCCCCCTGATAGAGACGAGGCGGCGTGACAGTTTCCTGCTACTCCGCCACAGCGTTAGCTTCTAGGGTGGTCTTCCTCGTATACCCAGTCTTGGAGCCAGTGCGTGTTCCCCTGACGCTCCTCCGCGCTCCTCCGCGCCCCCGCCCACGACGCGTTGCACGCATCGAGCCTTGACCCAAATTGAGCTTGGCCTGGGATCCGGGCGCCTCCCCTGGATGTCAATCCACAGTTTCATCTTGGTCAGCTACAGCGCTGGGATCAGCGCGTGTGAGAAAGGCGAGCAGTGGCAGCGGGCTTTGTCGCTGCTGAGCGAGATGCGGGAGGTGGACCTGCAGCCCACCGTCATCAGCTACAGCGCTGGGATCAGTGCGTGTGAGAAAGGTGCGCAATGGCAGCGAGCTCTGTTAGTGCTCAGCGAGATGTGTGAGGCGGAGCTTGAGCGCAACGTCATCAGCTACAACGCTGGGATCAGCGCTTGTGAGAAAGGCGAGCAGTGGCAGCCGGCCCTGTCGCTGCTGAGAGAGATGTGGGAGACGAGATTGGAGCCCACCGACAGCTACCCTCTATATTGTGGGGCACCCTGCGTCCGAGAAAGGCAGTTGTTTTATTGGTCCGCGCGGGTCTCAGCGCGGCATCGCCCTCCGGCGCAATGCGGCGGGCTCTGGGACGCCCCTGAGGGGTCCCTGGAGCGAAACCCAACAGGGTTCCCACGACAGCCCTGCAGGTCCCTGGAGCCCTCCCCCCCTCAGAGGGCCCAGTGAGTCTTCCGAGCATGACCGAGCGGCTCCACGAGGCGATGGAGAGATTTCAAGAGATGCCCAAAGACAGGACACAGAGGAGGAGAGGGGGGAGGAGGAGGAGGAGAAATAAGAGGAGGAGGATGAGGAGGATAAGGAGGAGGAGGAGGAGGAGGAGGAGGTGGCTGTCTTGGGACAGACAATATTTGAACACAATGCGTCCCAAGACGGCCCGAAGGTGCCCCGGATGCGGCCGACAGGGATCACACGACGGCCACACGCAACGAACAGTCGTCGAGCACGTAGAATGCTTGTGACCTCCTGGTGTTTCTGGGCAATGACAAGCCCAAGACGGGCCCGAGACTGCTTCAATAGTGATTGCATCATCTGCCAGCCGTAGAGCTGATCCACGGGTCACCCTATTCAGCTGCAAGGCTGCAGTTGGCGCGTGCGATAGAAGCGGGCATGTGCTGCAGGTGTTGCCGTTGCTCAGCAAGTTGGGGGAGACGATTTGAAAGCTTAGCGGGATCTTCTGGTCTAGTTCGCCGGGCAAATATGTACGCGCAGTCGACGTTTCAATATCGAGGTGGCCGGCGGCGTATCAGCAGCCGTTCCCAAGGGAGTTCTCTCGGAGTTTTCGCGTACCGAAGACATCTACTGCGAATTACAGCCGCCGACTGCCTTTCATCGCCTACGTGAACAGCCGTTGGGCAAACTTTTGGCCAAGCTATTGGACTATGTGTTTCCTCAGTCGTTATTGAAACCCTTGGGAGAACTTTTTTGGGGGAGCAGAAAAACTTTATAGAGAGGGAGGGAGGGAGGGAGGGAGAGAAAGAGATAGCGAGGGAGAGGGTGACAGAGGGCGAGAGAGAGAGAGAGACAGAAACAGAGATGTTGAAACAGCACGAACACTATTTACAATTGTGTCTCTATGCTTGATGATGTGTACACAGTTTTACGTCGGCATAAACAGATGTGGATGAGGCGGAAGAGGAGGACGGGGAGGAGATTGAGGAGGAGGAGATTGAGGAGGAGGAGATTGAGGAGGAGATTGAGGAGGAGGAGGAGGAGGAGGAGGAGGAGGAGGAGGAGGAGGAGGAGGAGGAGGAGGAGGAGGGGGAGGAGGCGGGGGAGGAGGAGGAGGAGGAGGAGGCTTCTTAGTGGCCTCTTGGGGACTTCGTGGGCGCCTGTCAGGGGCCTCTTGGGGGCCTCACGGGGTCTCTGGGAGCATCTTGGGAGCTCTTTAGGCTGTCTTCGGGCTCTCTTGGCTCTTCTGACACATTCGGAAGCAGTCTTGCGTGCCTTGTCTAGGCCCTCTTGAGGCGATGCAAGCCCGTCTTAGAGGTATTTTGGGCCGTCTTGTGGCCCTCTTTGAGCCGTCTTGGGGCCCTCGTGGGGCCTCTTGGGCCATCTTGGGGCTACCTTTGAGGTCTCAGTCTTCGGCCGTTGGAAACCCGAAAAGGCGAGAACGTGAAAACCGTTCGACAACCTCAAGCTAATGCGTGATTTGGGCCACTTCGGGCCCTCCTGGAGGGCCTCTTGGACCCCTATTGGCCCGTATCGGGGGCCTCTTGGGCCGTCTTGATGCCATCTGGGGCCGCCTCGAGGTCATCTTGGGCTGTCTTGGAGTCGGTTTGACGACTGACGTGAAGGCCATCTTGACCGTCTTGGGACAACGTTGGTATCATCCTGGAGCTATCTGATGCAGAAGAGCCAGCTTTCGGGCCTGAGGGTGGCGAGCCTACTGTCAGGAACTTGGGCTTGGCGTGTCGTTCCGCCGGTTCTGGCCCACCACGCTTCCGCGCGACATGCGGCGTTCCATTTCCCGGTGCCCAGGCGTCAACTTCCCGAGCCTTTCCCAGCCTCCCGCACGCCATTCGCTCGCGAGGCATAGCGTGTCGCCAGGGCCGCCGCCGCCACCCAGCTGCCACAAGGAAATGACCGTAGTGACCGTCGGGCCATCCCGCCACCGTGAATTTCGGTGCTGTCCGGGCGACTATTGGGGTGGTCAGGGTGTCGTCTTGAAGCGTCTTGGGCCGTTTGCGGCCATCTGTTTTGGGCAATCTATGGCCTCGGTGGAGTCGTCTTTGGGCGTCTCTTGGAGGATTCGTGAACCCCCCCTGGGGGGTCGTAAGTGGATATTTGTGCCCTCCAGGACGTCGCTGGGTTGTCTTGGGCTGACCCTGGAGCAGTATGCAGCCCTCTTGGGCCCGCCTGGAGGCCGTCTGGGGGCCGTGCAGACGCGCGGATCTGCTGGGGGCTTGCCGCGGGGGACTGCGGGCAGAGCAGCGCCCCAGGCAGAAGCCTTCTGGCGATTTTGAGAACCAGGCGCTCGCCAGTGCTTGCCACTTTGATTACCATGCGAACAGTGCGCTTCGCGGCCGTGGAGAGGCGGAGGAGGAGGAGGAGGAGGAGGAGGAGGAGGAGGAGGAGGAGGAGGAGGAGGAGGAGGAGGAGGAGGAGGAGGAGGAGGAGGAGAAGGAGGAGGAGGAGGAGGAGGAGGAGGAGGAGGAGGAGGAGGAGGAGGAGGAGGTGCACCGAATTGATTCGTTTGTCTGGGTTGAGGAGGAGGTGCGTGCCAGAGACACGCACTCGCATGGACAGCGCGACCTTGCCCAGGCCACGCCGCGGGTGGGAGCGGCCGGATCCGCACGGCCGCGCCTTCTGCCGCTCGGCCCCTTCAGGCTGAGCCGTGCCGTGGCCAGCCTTGGGGCACCTGGGGCCCTCCCATGCCATCACGGGGCCTCTCGGGGCCTCTGGGGGCCTCTGGGGCTCATTAAAACGACACGAAGATCGGGACAAAATCGGATCGGGATAACTCGAAATCTCTGAGAATCGGCGGGTTTGGAGGATGTATTGGGCGCCGCGGCCGCTCCAGAGCGTTCCGGAACGCTCTGAGAGCGCTCCGGAACGCTCTGGAGCGATTTATCCCGGTTCTAGCCCTGTTTTACTCATCTTCGAGCCATCTTGGGTGATCTCGGGGCTAGCTTGAGGCCTGTGGGGCCCATCTTGAGGACGTCTTGGGCCTTGCTGGGGCATCCCGAGCAGTTTGAGCTGCCTCTTGGGGCATTGGGGGCCAACTCGGGGCAGTCTTCGGCAATCTCGGGGTTTCTGAGAGCTGTATTGAGGGGATCTGTTTAGGCTCTCTGGGGCGTTATGGGGCCCTCCTGGGCCATCTTGCATGCATGATGGGGCCATCTTCGGCCAACCTGGGCTCTTAGAGCCTTTTCGTAGCCTCCTTCGGCTGTCTTCGAGGCCTCCTGGACCGTTCTAGCTGTTCGGTGGCGTCCAGTGGGAATCTTGGGGCAATCTGGGCCAGCCAGGGATTTCATGGACACCACCACGGGTGTTATTTTAGGCCCTGGGTCACCTCAAGACAGTAGCACGGGGACAGGACTAGAGAAACAATGATAATTAGTCGGAAGGCAGCACAGACAAGATACAACACAAGACAGCACAGCCCAGCAAAACGATTCAAGGCCTGGTGCCCTCGGGGGGCCGGCCGATGGCCCATGCATGCCCCAAAATCTAGCAGGAGCAACGCCAGCAGCAGCAGCCACGGGCAACCAACAGCACCAAGCAGAGGCAGCCAGCAGCATCAGCAGGCAACGGCAACAAGCAGCATCAGACAGTATCAGCAGGCCCAGACAGATGCCTGAAGACGCATGAAGAGCGACCCAAGGCAGCAAGGCAGCGCCGAACTCTGAGAGTCAGGTGCAATTCGAAGGACGCTTCGCAGTGAATAAGTTTCGACCCCGTCGTGCTCCAGGAAGACCTTCGCAGGACCTCTCAATGCCCCACGAGAGTCGCCAAGCACGGCCCAAAATTGCCCCTCAGAGGGTCGGTCGTTCAACAGCAAGCGGCAGTGCGGCAGCGAGCAGAAGCAAGCCGGAGCAAGTAGCAGCACGCGGCAGCAAGTGACACCGTGCCAAGAGACCCCGATGGCGCGTTGCCATGGACGCGAGTCCACGGGCCAGCCCTGGCTCAGCTACAGCGCCGGGATCAGCGCGTGCGAGAAGGGCGGCCAGTGGCAGCGTGCCCTGTCGCTGCTTCACGAGATGTGTGAGGTGAAGTTGGAGCCCGACGTCAGCTACTCTACGTTGCTGGGGCTAAACCCAATGTGAGTTCACCCCGATCAGCTCTGCCGATAGCACTCAGCCCGTTGCGGCTCTCGTCGCAGCGCCTGCGCCGTACGAAAGGGCTTCGGTGGATAAGCACTCGCTGGCGCTTAGATGCGTAATCAGGATCGTCGAATGAAACCCTTTAATTCGCTTCCATCATGCGGCAATTGGCCCAACATCAGAGCGAAAGCCGCTGCTTGGGGAGGTGGGGAGGGCAGCGGCGGCAAAGCTGAGAGCGCCTCTTGTCTGGCACAGATCTTCGCACTTGGGTTGAGAGTTTTGCAAACAAGCTCAATGCTTGTTATCCCACGGTTTGTCGGTGAATCCTGTCCCATGGGTCCCGAGGGAGCGATCTCTCGTTTGCTGGACTGCGAAAAGGGTGAGATCCGACGATGGTCTCCGCCCGGAACAGTTTGGGAAACCAACCAGGGACCCCTCGAGTGTCAGACTTGTCTGAGGGGTTAAGAAATCACCGATATACTCGTCTCACTCTCTTAGCCCTTGCTGTACAGTGTCGCCCCTTGGCGCTCCTTCCAACGCGTGGTCATCAAGACAGCCATGCACCTTGTCAACCTTCCAACTGCTGAGGGAACCTCGTGCCAAGCCAGGCGCAGGCAACCGCGGCAATCTCGGGAACGCAGCTGAGCCACCATTCCCACATGTTCCTGATTCCCCCGCACTCTGGCTCAATGCGGGCATGGGACCGCCTATATCTTGCAGCGCGGGGAGCGCTTAGCATCCGAAGCCACATCCCATCATCGTAGAGAGATGTGCCGCGCATAACAGCAAAGAACGTCCACGCCTTGAGTCAGTTACTGCATCTCGCTTGCCCGCACTCCTGGCCCTGGGCGGGCTTGACGGCCTCCACCCTGCGTCGTCTGACCGTCCACCGGACACCCGAGGCGGGGGTTCGTCCAGAACAACCACCGCCTGGCGGGCCGATCTGCAGGCGGTCGCGGCAGGCGCCGGGTATCATATGGATGTTGTTGACCCCCCCCCAATGGCGCCCGAAGGTGCCCATATCCGCCGCCTGCCGATGTGCCCGAAGAGCGATCTCGAGGCGAGTTATGGATACACCTCCGCCTCGGAACCCTACTCATCTACAAGGCTGGAGTCGGCGCGTGCGATAAGCGCGGGCACGCCGTGCAGGTGGTGTCGTTGCTCGCCGAGCTGCGGGGCACGCTTTGAGAGAGCCCGGCGGCACTTGCTAGCCTGTCCTTTGCCGGGCAAGCCCGTACGCGGAGGCCCCCTTGCCAGTACAGCCGAGGCGCCGCCGACATAACGGCCATCTTGGATCTTGGGCTCGGGACGGGCCCGGTTTTTCGGTCGCTCCTCTTCTTGGCCCTCTCGCCCAGGCTGGCCAGGACATGTGAATACAGTATCCTGGCCAGAACACGCAGGACTGACGTCCTGCTTTGTCGGGCTCGATTCTCCCAGCGAGGAAGGCTCACGACGAGGACTGACGGGGAGAAGGAAAGTGAAGCGGGACAAGGAAGGAGCCTCTTCCTGGCCGAGGCTCGCCGTGGCCGGGAAAACGCCCCCCCCTCGCTCCCTGCTCGGGGCCCCCCCTGGCGGCACGCTGGCTGCAGCCCGCTCGCCTGCGTGACGGCCAGCCCCGGCCGGGCCTGCCTGGACCCCGCCGTCGATGAGCACGTCGACGGCCCCGCCGACCGCTCGCCCGGGGCGGCTCCGCTCCGACTCGGCCGCTGGTCGGGAGGCCCCTGGGGCGCCCCAGGGCGCTCGCAGGAGGGCCCGCGAGCCCCCAGGGCCGCATCCCCATGGGTCGGTGGCGTTTTTGAGCTCTCCCCCGATGCTTCCCCGACCCCCCCCCCGCGGTTCCATTGGCCTCCTCCTCCTCCTCCTCCTCCTCCTCCTCCTCCTCCTCCCGAAGTTCCCGAGCGTGGATCTGAGGGTTCCGAGAGGACCGTGGCCACAGAGAGCAGGTGAGAGTGACGGGGGCGAACGGTCATTCATTGTCATTGGGTGCGTGGCTGAAGTGAGAATCCGTTTGTTGTTGTTGTCGTTGTCGTTGTCGTTGTCGTTGTTGTTGTTGTTGTTGTTGTTGTTGTTGTTGTTGTTGTTGTTGTCGTTGTCGTTGTCGTTGTCGTTGTCGTTGTCGTTGTCGTTGTCGTTGTCGTTGTCGTTGTTGTTGTTGTTGTTGTTGTCGTTGTTGTCGTTGTCGTTGTCGTTGTCGTTGTCGTCGTTGTCGTCGTTGTTGCTGCTGTTGTTGTTGTCGTTGTTGTTGTTGTGGGTGTGGTTGTGGTTGTTGTTGTTGTTGTTGTTGTTGTTGTTGTTGTTGTTTTTTACGCTGGAGGCTCTCTTTTGAATTGGCGCCGCTCCCAGCAAGAACAACGCTCCCGCTCGAGGCTTCCTTTTTTCCCTCAAGACGGTGCTGTTCCTCGCCGCCGACAGCCCCCGTTCCGACAAAACCACGGCTCCCGTTCGAGACTTCCTCCTTATTCAAGGCGGTGTTTCTCCTCGACGCCGACAACCGCCGTCCCAACAAAACCAGCGTTCCTGCTCGAGACTTCGTTTTGTGCTACGCTGGACAAGCGCCCCGCTCTCTTCAGCATTGGCGCTGCTCCCAGCAACAACAGCGGCTCTGCTCGAGACTTCCTCCCATTCTGTTCAGGGACAGGTCCTTGCCTCGCCGCCGACAGCCCCCATCCCCACCAAGGCAATCCTGTCGCTCGATACTTCCTTGTGCTTTGCCCTTGGCTGGGGCTCCACTGGCGGTCTCGCATCGGCGCAGCAAGGCGCGGGCATGCGTTTTCGAGGCGGGATCTGTTGAGATTCCTCGGGGGAGGCGTTTGCACGGCCTCATTGGGCGGGAGATCTGGGAATGGGAATAACTGACCCCGCTATAGAACAAGAGTCCCCCATGATGGGGATGGTTATCATGATGGTCGCATGCTTCGTGTGGAAACATCGCGCAAGAGGGTACAAGTGTTGTTGTTGCTGTTGCTGATGCTGCTGATCTCTCATTTCCAAAGAATATGTATCGTTGGTCCCCCCATCACCGGCGCATGCTGTTTCTTTCTGAATCAAAGTGTGCCCCTCGACGCTGGCACCTTGTTTTTTGACAGGGAAAGTCTTGGTGCGCAAACTGGGCCCCTGGCCCCCCGGATAACAACAACAACGGCTCCCGCCTGAGACTTCTTCCAAATGTACTCAGGACCCCCGCTCCTGAGACTTCCTCACAATTTACTCAGGATCCGTGCTCCCGCCGGTGATTTCCACGCAATTTAGTCAGGACCCCCGCTCCCATCTGAGATTCCTTCACAATTTACTCAGGAACGGCGCTCCCGCTTGAGACTTCCTCGCAATTGAACCAAGCATTCCTCGCAATCTAATCAAGACCCCCGCTCCCGCCAGAGAGCCCTTCACATTTTATTCAGGAATTGCGCTCTCGACTGTGACCTCCATGCAATTTGTACAGAAATCGCGCTTTCGACTGTCAGGAAACACGCTGCGCCAAGGACGCCGTCACAATGTACTTAGGAATCGCGCTCTCGCCATACTCAGGCATCCCGCTCGAATGTCCCACCCGCCCGACCCGCCCGTCAGGGGATCGCCCGCCCCTTGTGGGCTCCCGCCCGAGACCTCCTTCAGGAACGGCGCTTTCGCCTAGGACTTCCTCGAACGTTCACGCTCTTACCTTCCTGCTCCCTCCTCCCTCCTCCCTTCTCTCCTCCCTTCTCTCTCCCTCCTTTCTTCCTTCATCCTTATGCCTCTCTACAATGATTCAATATGAATACTAATCTCCTCCTTCCCCTGATGACGGGTTGGGAGTGTTCGCCCCCCCCCCCCCCCCCCCCGCGTATTGTTTTTTATTCACAGGATTCCCCGAAGTTGGGTTTTCGCTTGCATTTTTTTCAAAATGCTGCTCTCGCTGAGGCGCCGGCCTCATTTTCGGGCCCCGCTCGTTCCGAATCGTGCTCCCGCTGCAGCGCTGGCCTCATTTCCGTGCTTCCGCTCGTTCCGAATCGTGCTCCCGCTGCAGCGCTGGCCTCATTTCCGCGCTTCCGCTCGTTCCGACTCGTGCTCCCGCTGCAGCGTTGGCGTCATTTCCCGTGCCATGCCACGGCATGCAATGCAATGCTAGGTTGCGTTCCGCTGCGCGATGCCATGCCTTCAGCTGAAGCTGTGATATGCAGTGCTTAATTGCCACGTCGTGCTATGCCCTGCTACGCTTTGATATTCAACGCCATGCTATGCAATGCTATGTTCTGGGCCGCTTTGCGATGCCATGCTTTGCGATGCAAAGCTGTGTGATGCAATTCTTCACTACGCCACGCCACGCCATGCTGTGACATACTACACTTTGCGGTGCTCTTCTACGCCATGCCATGCCCTGCTCTACAATGCATCGTGTACTTTTTCGGGATCATTGCCCTGCTCGACATCCGACTGTGCGAGTAGAGAGGGGATCTACGCCATGGTAAGGGATGGGAGGGAAGGGTAGGATGTCAGATATGGCGCGAGCGCACCTAGTTTGGCCCTATCCCCTCTCCCTCCTCTCCCTCCTGTCTTCTCCCTCCCCTCTCCTGCCTCCTCCCTCCCTCCCTTTTTTTTTGTTTGTTTTTTTGTTTGTTCTCTCTCTCTCTCTCTCTCTCTCTCTCTTCCTCCCATCTTTTTTTGTGATTTCTCTCTCTCTCTCTCTCTGTCTCTCTTTTTCTACTTGTCTTATCTGCAGTTCTATCTCTCTTTCTCTCTGTCTCTTTCTGCCTCTAATCAACCGCCCCCCTTTTCGCTCCTTCTCTCCTGGCATTTCCCCTCTTCCTTCGCCCCTCCCCCTCCCTTCCTCCCACTCTCCCTCGTTCTCCCCCTCCTCTTTTTGCAGGGCCCATTCCAATTCCAATGGCGGGCACATGCACGCCCACGAAGGATTCTCCGCCCGTTCAGGTTTGCCCGCCTGTCTAAGCTCGCCGCCCCCCGCATCTCC